CTGCGGGGGCCTCCTCATGAGCCGCACCAGCTGCCTGCCCGGCTGCCGGCGAACCTCCCGATACTTACCTTTATAACCTCACATTTATGTGGGATTTCGTTGTACTTTCTGCCAATGTCGCTCTGCCTCTTCGGCAGCGGCGGTACCGAGGATTTACGACTGGGCAGAGCAGTTAAACAGGTTTGGCACAGGTTGAAAGGCAGGACGGAACCAACGTAGGAATCCCGTGCTGGGCCTGCCGGGGGGATCAGGATTGGGATTCCTGACCTGACATGGTCGAGGTACCTTGAACTTTGTGTTTGCTAGCATGCAAATGTAAATATGACGGGAAAGCACGGAGCTGGTCGTGATGTTGCAGTGTTATTTTGATTTTTTATTTTTAGGAAATCTTCTGACTAGGCTTGGATGAAGGCAGGAAGAAAAAAACCTACGCTTTTTGCCTAGCTGCGTCAGAGTTGCCTATCTGCATACAACATACTCAGTACTCATCTTTACAGTAACCAACAAACAGAAATGATAAGCTGCAGACCTGCAAAGCATCTTCTCTAGAAAGAAAGATACCCTCATTTTGGATGAATGTTCTCACAGTCTAAGAGATTGATTTTTGTGAAAAAAGATTTTACCATTTTTTGTTCTCATAAGGGGCAGAAAGGTCTCATAGAACAAGCATTTTGAAATTGAAGCTTATATAGCTTGACAGGCCTTGGGCTTTTATAATAAACGTCCCCATGTAAGCTGCATTTTCCATATTATAAATTCATTAGATACAGTGAGCTAGTAGCGAGGTAATTTCTTCTAGTGATGGCAGTCTTTTCTCAAACTAGTCAACAGGGTTTTCAGGCTTTGCTATGGAAATGTCGTATGTTCTGGCCTGTTTCAAGATGCCAACAACTGTTTGCTGTCTCTTTCAGCATCCCCAATAGGGAAAAGGTTAGCTATTTCACTTTTATGACATCTTCCAGCACTGCATTACCAGTGGATCCCAAAGGAACTGATGTCTTTTCTACCAAGAAAAGGTCTGAAAGTGATTATGAAGAAGAAAAAGGATGGGATGAAGAGACTAAAGAAATATCTGAAGGGAAACTCCACTTTTCTTCCTCTGTTGAAGCTCCAAAGAAACGGTTAATGAGTCAAGTTCTGTCAAGGCATAGGTTTACCAGCGTACAGCCTCCAGAAAAACCTTTGCAGGCTGAGGAATGGAACAGACTGAGGGAAAGCTTTCGATCACCTGAAATATTTGAAGAAGTGATGTTTAACAGTATGGTCAGGTGCAACAGTCCCATTGATGTGGCTAAGTCCTTGCTGACCCATGTGGCAAAGAGTAAAGGTGACATTGCGTATAATTTGTTGGTCAAATATCTGGCATTGTGTGTCCAGCAGGGGCAGACTTCAGAAATTCGTGATATGTATGATATAATGAAAATCAGATTTAGGATTTTCGACAGTGGGGCTTACAACCTTCTTATCAGGGGGCTGAGTAATTCAGATCAATGGAGAATGGCCTTGACTCTTTTGGAAGAAGTAAAAAAGGTTATGATTCCCTCACGGACAAACTATGAATCCTGTATCAAAGCAGCCAGCCGTCACCAAGAAATGAACCTCGCATTTGAACTTTACCATGAAATGTTGGCTAAGGATTTGGTCCCAACCTTGGATGTCCTGCAGGCCTTTTTTGACTTCAGCAGGGGTATGAAAGGTGCTGAGTTACAAAAAGAGCTGTTTGGTATCCTCTTATATTTGAGAGAGAACCAAATATACCCTCACAAAACATTTATGCGGAGTATAAAGCTATGGTTTGAAAGGTAAATAATGTTTCAATAGCAAGCTCCAGTTTATGAGCATGGGATTCAGATTATTCCACAGATCAAGTCTAATAAGATCCCGCAACATCTCATTTTGGTTGTTGCTTCTCCACGAGAGACACATTGTCATGAAAAGATACATTTTATTTTTGCTCCAAAATTAGTGTAAAAGTGTAAAATTCTTACTGATTTCACCTTTTCTTGAAAGATTTTACCTGTTAAATACTGTTCCTTGTTACAGAAAGTAGGAAATTGTGATGGGTCGTGCCTGTCCAAAATATCTAACTTCATCTCTTTCTGGGGTTGGTACATAAGGAATATTGACAGGTATGAGGGTTTTTCCTATAATCTGTTGGAGTGTAGAAATAGTAAGTTATTTGAAAATTAAATACTTTCTCTCTTTAAAGGAAAGAGGCAGCAAATTTAGCATAGGTTAAGTGAAGATTAAGTGTTGACTTTGGATAGAGTAATAGGAGAGGAATAATCTTAATAGGAGGCTCTTTGTTTTCACACAGTATTTAGCAGGCCACGCAGTTTGTTTTCATGAATAGTGATGGTCAGACTCCCCATATTACAACTAGTTACGCTGCACATGCACCATGTAGTTCACCTGAGCCCACTGCATATTTGTCATGCTGTTGTATGTGAGCCCATCTGTGACTTTTTGTTTTAACTGTTGGCTTTGGTTTATGTGAGCTACACAGCCATTTTACAAGTTAGTCTTCCTGGATGGAAAATATGGCTGTGGGAATGCACTACTATTATTAGAACGGTTTATACTGCTGTCCCCTGGCTATTTTCATTCCTGGGAACAGCTAGGGAGCAGACAGAATAGGCTTCAGTTGAGATGAACTACTTTAGCGGGTGTAAATCTGTCACGGGGTGCTATTTTCCCAGTGAGTAGAGAAGGACTTACCTGTAGGTGTGTGCTGCTGCATGCGCAGGAAACTCAGCGTAATAAAAAGTCCTTGGCAAGAAGACTGCAGGGGCAGCGAGTACGTTGAAGAGCTATATATTGCCTGTATGTAGTGGCAAACCAGTGCTGCAAGCTGAAGCTAGACAAACTCCTGTTTGTGTCTTTGTGTGTTTGACTGTTAGAACAATTCATGAAAGATTGTGGTAGACTCATGTTTTAAGACCAATGTTGGGTGTTTCCCTAAAGGAAGTAGTGTTTCAAACATGAAGAAGAAACAAAGTCCATAATAGCGGGATGAAACTAGGTGATCAGTTATCCCATCTGGCTTTTTATCTGTGAACCTGTGCAAAATGCTCAGTTTTACCTGTCTGTTCCAATTGCTAGTGCTGAACTTGTATATGCTGGTGGTTGAAAATAAATAAGCAGTTTACATGGAGTTCCTGAAAAGAAATAGAATTTGATAACTTCTAGCACTGTTAGTCTTGCAAAAATGATGCAGATTGGGAGGCAACTTTTGCTGACAAAGGAAACCAAGGGTACAGTAAGCACAGAAGTGAGCTCTGTGAGTGTAACTGAATAGGAGTTAGTTTTAAAAAGTTATTTTTCTGAAGAGCAGACCAGCACTGACTTCTAGTAGTGAGTAAAGCCAGATCCAATAGAGATCTGCGTGTACAACAAAGAACCACAGTATTTTCTGTTGCCTGTTGTCTTTGTAAGAAAACTAAAGAACCGCTATGTATCAGCATGAGAAATGGGAAAGGAGGGCAGAAGCAGGACGCTTATTCCAAAGCCCATGGCATGTGTGATTGTGCAGCCTATGATAATAAACACAGTGGTAGAGGTGTCTGCAGTTGCATGTTGTCTTGGGTATTCCTATTCTGTTTTGGATCTTGTGGGCAAAAAGGCGTATTTACACCAGCATGATGGTGGCCGTGGTAGTGGTGGTGATGATGATAAAGATGTGGAGTCAAAAACTCTCAATGCAGCATTTTGGTATGAGCATATCTTTCTTAATCTCTCAGGATGACATCTGCATAGAAATCTTGATTCCTGCTTTCCCATCTGGTTTCTGAGGTGCTTTTATGAATGTGTAGGGCAGCAACTTAAAATTTGTCAGTGCAGCCTGGTTATTTGTATGGTTCTTAGTATTGGGGGACAACATAAACTGGGGAGGTTGATGATGTTAGTTCTCTGCATGTTGTTAAATGCTGGTTCTTTATATAATATTTTCAGGCGTTGCTAAATTACATATGAATCTTTGTATGATTTCTTTGCAGGGTAGATGACTGATCGGTCTTTTATTTCTAAATGTTGACCAAAATAGAATTACTCTTTATCTGTAATTGAGGTATTGTTAAATAAGGATCTAATGTTTTTATTTATCTTTCCCTCTGTACATATTAGTATACCAGGAGGGAACTGGAGAGGACACCTGACCAACATTAAAGACAGGTAAGTGCAACATTTTATTTAAAAGTGAGGTGGTGTCTTGATTATTCTATCTTGAACTCTTCTCTCATAAATATAAAAAATAGCTTTCCTTATGTAAGAAAATATTTTAATCCTTGAGAATATAAACTGTTGTTGTGTACATATGATTTCACAAACTCCAGTTTCCAACTCAGTCTTGTGCATTAAACAAGACCCAACATGCACATTTGGAAAGGAGTTACACTAAGCAGAGCCAAGACAGAAAAACACAGAGAAAAATAAGAGCTGCCATTTTACTGTGTGGCTTATTTGTTTACTGTTTAGGAATTAAAGACTTACTTTTTTGGTTGGCTTTATAATACCATTGTTTAACACGATATTTAACAGAGGACCTTTGGTGTGTAAATGAACGTCTTCTTGAAAACTGATACTGTTCACACGCTGCAGTTAATTTGTACAGATGGAAGGGTTCTCCCTTCCCACCTGATTTTCGGTGAAGACAAAATGATTCTTATAATTTCTTATCTCATCTTAGGTTTTCACAGGGTTAACTTGGGTATGTGTTTCTATTACAGTGCAGTTTTCTTAATGTCTGTAAATTCCTATTTTAAATGTTATTCTATTTGAAACCTAGTTCTGTGTTTTTGTAGCAGTTTGGCAACTATAAATGTATTAATTATAAGAATGTCTCCAATGGATTATGGGGTTTTTTGGTGGTTTATAAAAATACACTGTGTTGCATACTCTGAAGTAGAAGCACATGTAGAGTCTGCTGCTTTTGAAGCCCATGAAATAACAGCATAACTCACTGTCCTAAGAGTAGGGGTTGTTCACTGTAAGATGGATTATTATTATGTATGAGTATATGTGCGTGTTACTATACTGTATTATGATAATTCACCAAATTCTAGACAACCTTTTTCAGCCTTTAGAGTTTTAAAATTCTAAAGTTGATTGTCTTGGTTAAGAGATAGCTTGTTATCTTATTGTCTGTAAACTCTGTTACAGACTTTGAGAGCTAAACTAACTTAGATCACCTCACATTTTATCATGGATTAAGAATCTGTGAACAAAGTGGTGACAAGGTGCTATATGGTAGTTACTTTGCGATAACTGTATGAACAC